TTATGTATTTCTATTTCGCTTTAAAGAGGCTAACCCATGACAGCATTTGATGTTACATTTTGGTTACATTTTATACTCGAGTGACCCGCCATATTACTATATTATGTATTATGCTTTAAAGAGGCTAACCCATGGGAGCATTTGATGTTACATTTTGGTTACATTTTATACTCGAGTGACACGCCATATTACCATATTATGTATTTCTATTTCGCTTTTAAGAGGCTAACCCATTCCAGCATTTGATGTCGTAGTTTGTAAGTCAATTCCTTAAAAGCATAGGCATAGTCGATTTAAAGATACTGGCCCGTCGAGGCAATAGAAGTGTATGTTTATTTTCTTGGGATCAATATGGTTCTGTATCATGAACAATTAATCAGCCTTATATAACGGTTCACCGTTTAAAACACAAACCAACCTGTTGACGTCATTGCCTCGGTATGTAAAGCTAATTGCCTATTGCTAATTGGTTAATGAATTTAACTTACAAAGCCTATTGGAATTATTTTTGCGATTCAAACACAGGGCCATTTCCCCGGCGAATATCAAAACGTGACCAATTGTTAACATCGTTATGCTTACAATAGAACTAATCTCGAAGGTAAATAGCCGCCATTTTGCATTCTGATACAAATACTTCCCTTAATACCTAGGTAAATAATATTTTTCATTTTACGGTGTTTGCCTTTTATAGGCTGGGAAACTGGTAATACCGCCTGGATTTAGAAAATACTTAACAAAATTACTTATATGTCTATCCGTTCGAGACAAATTCTTAGTTTTCGATGTCGAAAAACTTGTCATCTACCAACAACCATCTAATCTGCGATATCAGCTTCTATTTGAAGCAGACGTTAACCTTAGCAGAACCTGGAATATAATCAGACATGTAATAAATAACGTAAACCAAATGTTACCAGCCATTACATCCCCCCAACATCATATACTTTCAGTTCTAAAGAATTCCGAAATACAATTACACAATAACCAATTATCTTTTACCATATTTCGACAACAAAGCCCAATGCAACTAATTTAGTTCCTAATAGCCGTTGGTACTATTGACTGATATTCTTCCAGCAACTCCAGGAATTACTTACTCAAACATTCTGGAATTGGAACCAGTGTAAAGTACACAGAACTGACGTTTGGTGCCACAAGGAATATTTCCTGAATAAACTAAGTTAATTGCTTCATATACAATACAGTACTGTTTAGATTAGTTTTGCTATGGTATTTACTAACCGGCAATCATCAAGTCTGTTTACTTGCTTTAGTAAATTTGAATGTACGCTGTATTTCTGCTGTGCTTTTCTATTTGACTGCACCTTGTTTAACTCTAAATTTAGAAATACGCGTTGTATTGTCATCAGTGGCGTCCCAAAAATTACCGCTTAAATACGCCACCGAATTCCATCTTCATTAACCCATAACGTGCAAAATAGTAGTACGTCCAACTCCATTCATTTCATTTTTCATGTATTGCCATCGACAAACAACAATGTTTCTAACTACCCCACTACCTTTCTGCACCTAATCGACTTGTGCAACGCTATGCAGTGTGCAATGGGGGAATTTTTGCTAGGACAATGGTATAAGCATACTCCTTTCAATTTCCAACTAGCGAGTCTGTAGCTCATTACACCCCTTCAGGAAAGGTCTTTTAGTCCATGATGTTATTTTGGCCTTTTGATTTCAAATATATCAGCAGGCCGTATATTTAATATGTTTAAACCTTTTCGTCTACTTTCTGAGCTGTGAATATCATATATTAAAGAATTTTGATCGAGAGTATAAAGTGAAATGATAAAACTATCTATATTAGTCTAGACTTTACATGTTTTTATTTTATTATCAACATATATATCATCAACTCATCTCCTGCTTACTGAAACTATTATAGTGGATTTGCTGATATTGTTGGCGTAAAGCCTCGAACCGCGAATCATACCGGTCACTACGTCTTGGATTTGCTGATATTGTTGGCGTAAAGTCTCGAACTGCGAATCATACCGGTCACTACGTCTTGGATTTGCTGATATTGTTGGCGTAAAGCCTCGAACCGCGAATCATACCGGTCTCTCTTGGATTTGCTGATATTGTTGGCGTAAAGCCTCCAACCGCGAATCATACCGGTCACTACGTCTTGGATTTGCTGATATTGTTGGCGTAAAGTCTCGAACCATGAACCACACCGGACACCACGCCACTTCTTGCTGTAGGAAATCGGAACCCAAAGTAGAGCAATGCGGCAGCTTCTTTGGGTTTTCGCTCCCTAACCCGAACGCCACTCCAACAGAATTGCAATCGTCTAAAATTGGACGGTCATAAATTGAATAATTTTCTATTAATTTTGATGTCTTGCATGATCCTAGCGTATCTCGTAAATATCTGTAAAATCTCGTATATTCTCTTAAAGTCCTAATATGGCAGATGTAATATTAGAAGCTGTGGTTGAAATTTTCTAGGATTATATTTTATTATGGTTTCTGATTTGTCAGAATGGTCTGAACTTAGTCTGAATCTAGCTGACTCTTACCTAGCCTCTGATGGCTCTGTTATCTGTTGTCGGATAACTGAGCACTTGCTGATTCTTTCCTAGCCTCTGATGGCTCTGTTATCTGTTGTCGGATAACTGATAACTGAGCACTTGCTGACTCTTTCCTAGCCTCTGATGGCTCTGTTATCTGTTGTCGGATACTGATAACTGAGCACTTGCTGACTCTTTCCTAGCCTCTGATGGCTCTGTTATCTGTTGTCGGATAACTGGAAACCTACCGGCTCTTATATAGCCTCTGACAGCTATGTTAGCCGTTGTCAGATAACTGAAAACTCCCTGTCTGTTATAAAGCCTCTGATGGCTCTGTTATCCGTTGTCGGATAACTGGAAACTATCTGACTCTTATTTAACCTTTGTTATCTGTTGTCGGATAACAGTATAAATATGGATTCAGTAAAAGCTGATATTGAGCTCTCTCATCTGAAAGCGGAAAAAAAATCTTTACTGTATTACTATGTGCAACATTTTGTATATAGAATGCATTTAAAATCATTTAACTGTTATCTTTTACAGATAAATATTAATGTGTTAATATACTTATACCCATGTTAATAATCTTACAGAGAATATTGCTAAATTCTGTTTTGATAGACATATTTAACTAATTACTCTAGCTGTCAGAAATCAGGCAGAAAATCTGTTAGGAATAAAACATATATAATGAATATGAACTAGGAAAATATTTATTCAAGTGATTATATTAATTACTTTATAGGTGCGGTCTGTTTTTCATATTAGAAATTATAATCAGCAAAACAGATTATTTCTTATGGAAAGTTTACTGCTGTATAAAACATATCATAGTGTATCAAGTTTCAAATAGTTTTTTACTCAGAATTCCAGGAGAATGATTGAAACTGTAAGATGTGGAATATTTGAACTTGAAAGATAGATGTACTAAGACATCTCCCACTTCATCCCTCCCTTGGCATAATTGGCGTACCATTAATAGGCGATGCCAGTGTTCAGGGCGTTTCTAAAAATCCGAAGGCCGAGTAGGGTTACAAAATTTCCCAGAGGGGGGCACAGGCTATGCTTTTACTACGTAAATTGATAAAAATTTTGAAAGTGGGGGCCAAGAGTCTGCCTCCCTTAACCTTTTTTAACCACCTATATTTGTACCCCGTCCGTCCCTCCAACTGCCCTCACTTTGAGAGACTATGTTGTATGTACGTTCACATATTCTCTTGTGTATACTAAATTGAAAAATCAATACCTACCAATAACCACCCACATCTCACTAATTACTAGTACCAATAAATATATTGGTTTATTTCAATTCTGACATTTACACCACGGGTTAATTATCGAGCCGTTTCGGCAGTTTTACCACCTACCACGCAACCTTTCCTGTTGAAACACGAAAAAAGTTGTGATGACCCAAAGTTCGTTCCCTGCATAGGTCAAGATAATGAATTTGTATTTGAAAAGTAATATATCCGAAGGGGCAATGGTGTATGGTCGGCATTGACCCCAGTCCCCCACTCCCCTTCCTTGACCTGGCCTGTATCACTAGTTCCATTGTGCTACAGATAAAGCCAGTAATAATCAACATCTAAGACTACGTGATAAATTGTTGTCAGTCGGTTATTTTTATGAGATTAAAATTATGTACCTTGAAGCTATAACTTGTCAGTGAGGACAATCACCTGTTCCAGCCGATGGGATTATTTTCTATTTTCCGATCTACATTGGAATTAGAGACAATAACAAGTTTATCTCAATAATTTGTCAACAGGTGGTTTATGTCTGGTTATAGAGGTCAGAACGGAATGGGGGAACGAACCATCGGACGCAGTCCAGAGATGTAAGGGTCTCTGAAAATTTGTTGAACGATAATTGTTTCAAAATTCTTCCTTGTCACTTCGAGTTCATTGGACAATCTAATGGTAAATTCGGAATATATAGGAAGGAGACCCATTGGTATGAGGCCAGAAAACTGATCAGTCCGCCCCTTGTGGAGATTGTCATACGTTAATGGTAGAAGTTATCGTCTACTTCCAGAGGATGCTGATATCACAGACTAGTTAGTTGTTGGAAGATGACAAGTTAACGTCCCCTTCCAGCTAACTGATATCACAGACTAGGTAGTTGTAGGTAGATTACAAGTTAACGTCCGCTTCCAGCTAGCTGATATCACAGACTAGGTAGTTGTTGGTAGATGACAAGTTAACGTCTGCTTCCAATTAGCTGATATCACAGACTAGGTAGTTGTTAGATGACAAGTTAACGTCCGCTTCCAGCTAGCTGATATCACAGACTAGGTAGTTGTTGGTAGATGACAAGTTAACGTCCGCTTCCAGCTATCTGATATCACAGACTAGGTAGTTGTTGGTAGATGACAAGTTAACGTCCTCTTCCAGCTAGCTGATATCACAGACTAGGTAGTTGTTGGTAGATGACAAGTTATCGTCCTCTTCCAGCTAGCTGATATCACAGACTAGGTAGTTGTTAGTAGATGACAAGTTAACGTTCGCTTCCAATCATTGCTGATATTGCAAACTAGGTAGTTGATGAGACGTAGTAGTTGGTAGATTGGTTCAGTTGGATGATTCTGTGTTGTTGGTTTGGTAGTTGATAATTCGTAAGATCTGGTAGGGCCTAATGACATGGCGGTGAATCGGGACCCTGGATCATGGTTATTAGTTGATTGGTAGTCGAATAGTAGTCGTTGGTTTGGTTTGGTTACATTTTCCGATAACTGTTGGAGAACTGGAGGATCTGAAAAGAAGAGAATCAGAAAATATACCCAGCACCTTATTTCTCCGTATATCGCTTCCTTCATGAGTTTGTATTGAATACACAGATCAGACTTTTCTCGTTTATTAAATATTTTATGTGTTTAATTCTCCAATATTTGGTATTTTTATGGTCGTATTTATGATTTAGTGTGAAAACTGAGACATCGTGCTATCAATACACTGAATGAAGTTAAACACCAGCTTTGATTTGATGATGAATATATACTATACTATTTATATCAACGATACGAAATGGAATGGAGTTTAACGCCGCCATTGGACAATACAGTCTGCAGCACCATGCAGTGTGGACTTAAGGAACTCAGAAATAGGTTCTTTCCAAAAGTCAAGGGATCTTTACCACGAACTGTAGGAAACAAAGGGTGACAGATATTCTAATGATCCGGGGAGTTTTTTTTATCCAATCAAAAAAACGATTTTTTCAAACGAGAGGTATTGTCCATACGAGCTTCGTGAGCGTGTCCATATTTACAAAACAACTCGTAATTAGTATCGTGTTGATTGGCCAGATAGAAAATCACGTGACATCGTGAATATGGATTGCCCTAGTCCCTAATACGAGGCTTACCTACTAAAGTGAAACACGAAAGTTATGTAATAGTTTTGGACGTGGTGGAGAAACGATTAGAATAGTCCACCACGTTCTTAAAATTTCAACCCGGAAACCCAGAAAAAAATTATCGCTATATCCAAAAAAAGTTAAATCTGTATATTACTAGAAATAATAACCGATATATAAAACTATCAATATATCGTAGCCGCGATAAGCTCCCTTCGAGACATATTAATTAGTGAGTATGTCTATAAAATCGAACCGTTAAGATAGATATGATAATACCGTGATGAAAAACTGTTTTTTATCATTAAGAACCCCTGAATATTAGTTGTCTACAGATTTTGTGTCCGTAGTAAAAGAGCGTGGGGAGTGGTGCCTGAATTTCAGTATGCAGTATATTCAGTATATTTTAAAAGAAAATTGAAGAAAATCAAAATCTTGGTATATTTAATGATAGCAGTATTTCTCTGACGTCCGCGCTTAAATATTAATATAAATTAAGACATGTCTCTGTTTAGGACAGAACACAGATTACTTACATTACATATGGGACAGATGGTATTCAAAGAGATAAATTGTACTACATATTTTGACTGATATCAAAATCTTCGTAGTGTTACTCTGACGTCCGCGTTTGGATATTATTGTAACATCGCTCGAAGAATATTGTATATTTATCAGCTAAAAAAAGATCGGTGGTATAAAGATATGAAATTATACTATATAACATACTGTAGTATAATTGATCACAGGATTTATTATTTTGTATTGTACAAAGAATCTTTGTTATTCTCGCAAAATAGTTGCGATATTGAAGATATTGATGAAATTATTAATTATTTATGTGTATCATAGTATGTTTAATAGTTTGAATTGAATTTTGTATAATTTTTTTTTTGTATGTGCACTGAGTGTGCGAATAAAGTAATTATTAATTAGTAGTTTTACTCTGACGTCCGCGCTTAAATATTGGTAAAAAACTGCTCGAGAAATACTGCATATTTGTCATTCAAATATAGATCGGTTGTTATTTAAAAATTTGGAAATTATTTAATGTAGTTATTACAGTTATTATCATGATATCTGTACTATGTTTCATAACAGAAATTCTTAGTAGTAGTGCTCTGACGTCCGCGCTGAAATATTAGAGAAAAGTGCTTGTCGAATACTGCCCAATGAATGGTATTTAAAAGCGAAATTATAGTATAGCATGATTATTTATTAGTTATAATAGTAGTTATTATCAGGCACTATTAGTATCAATATTTTATTGTACTAACCAATTAGTCATTCCATTATACAGCTATTGTCTAATTAAAGCTAATTATTATGTTAAGGCCCTGTCACACTAGAGTAGGTCTATATATTATAATCGCAATGAGTTGCTTATATGGCGAATGCAATGCAGCGGACAAAGAGTTCTTACTCGGTATATTAATACTATTGATATCGGGCTTTGATATTCTCTATCTCCTCATATATTGTATATTATCTTCACCCCTCTGATAACGGTTCTCCACCGAACTTATATTGGTAAAGGCAGCCATTGAAAAACATTACATAAACATAAGATTACAATGGACTACATAATCCCCATCTTCACAATGTCAAGCTGTTACGAACTTCGTCTTATTCCTTTACTGCAATGGCCACCTTTCTTGTATCATGGAAGTTTGTAAACGAAGCGACATCATATGATTATACGTTATCAAATACAGCCTATCAGAGCTCTCGACAAAAAGACGGTGAACATTATGGCTTATTGTTTACAGACTTCCTGTCCTGATTGACTGTAATAAACTTGCTGTATTTACAAACTTCCATCCACGGTACCAGAATAGTGGCTATGGCAGTTAAGGTATAAGACGAAGTTCGTAATAGCTTGACATTGTGAAGATGTAGCGAGTTAAGTGCTAGAAAAGGAAGAAAATACGAAATATATTGTAACTGTAAAAGGTTTTATTGAAGAATTAAAGAGATTTAATCAAATATTCATAGCTTAACAGTCTTTCACCTAATGCGATAACAAAGAACGTTTTTGAAATTTTAAAACACCAAGAAATCGATTTTAAACATGGAAACTGAAAGGTTAAGAAAATGTCCAGAATAATCTGTCTGCGATCTTAAAACAGTTTCAACGACTGTAAGTACACGTTTCACGAGGATTGGGTCATTTAAAGAGTTAGGAAATATTAACTTTTTCAGCTGTAAGAACACAATTCAAGCCATCTGTAACACTTTATAGAATACAAAAACAACAATTGATACTTCGAAGATCGCATGAAACGTTAAAGCTTCGATATCTGAAGTTCGTCACATAGGTTGCCTTACATCTTCACATTGTCAAGCTATTACAAACTTTGTCTTATACCTTGGTAGCAATAGACATCTTTTTTATATCGTAGAATGCAGTTATTTGATTGGATTGTACGTCAACAAATACAGCCAATTAGAACCCTAGAGAGATTGAAAACACTAAGCCATAATCCCTTTGGCAGTCTTTCTGTCGAGGGCTCTGATTGGCTGTGTTGGCTAACGTTCAATCCCATAAAATCGCTTCATGTACATACTTCTGTGATACCAAATAAGTGACTATTGTAGTCAGGGTATGAGCCAAAGGTCACAACAGTTTGACATTGTTGATATACAATATCTGTAGTATGTCACATATACTTTCTTTAACAAGGATGGCGAAAAGTTTACCAGAAAGTTGCCACTTAAAAACTTGTCTTATTGTTTCACATACAAAGCAATGTTAAAAAACAATATTACATTATTCTGCTTAATGTTCAGATGAAAAGCTCTGTGTTTGCATAACGAAATCTCAATTTGTTTAGCTTGAATAAATATTGATGTTCATCGACAATATTTTTATAATATTTTTTATGGAAAACCATTTATTTCTAAAATCGTAGAGCGAACGTGATTGTTATGTTTTTCCACGTGTTTGCATTAATCTTGAGTTTATTTTTTTCTGAACAAACGATTTCAACATTTCCTCAATATCTAATTCTGACAATAGATTGGACGCAATTGATTGTTCTAATGCACAAGCAGTAAGTAGGTATGTTGAATGGAAAGAAAGAAGAGCTCTTCACAATGGTGAAATCTTGTAAGAAAAAAAACAACTAAGGTTCTTGAGAATCCTGTCTACAAGCAAGTTCTTGGTCAAGCCTCTTTGCATCAATCTCTTCCGGATTATCCATACCTATTTCCAGCTGGTCGACTTGAAAAAAGAAAGATAACTTACTCATGGCATCATACTTTTATTAGCTGACCGTTTTGTTCATTTCCAGCATGTGAGGGGCTCTCTCAATTCAAAATAAATTCTTCTTCTATACTAGTTGGCCACACCCCCGACACCCTCGTCTCATATTCCTAGGTGGTGAAAAAAACCAGGTTGGGAACCAGGGCTCTAATCGATTGTGCTACAGAGCGTCCTTAAAATTGATCTTGGAGACAAACCAAAATGCTGGTAGACCAATACTCAATACATATCTCATTCTCTTAGCTAATCTGAATATGTTCATCTGATTACCTGAATGACATTTCTATGGGAACCCAGAAAAGAGGCTCGCCCGGATTTGGTTCACATCAAATTTGGAGGTATCGTTTGCATTTTTGGGCTCCCTCACCTAATGTTTCCTAGGAACACAGAAATTTCAATGAAAAACAATAATAACAAGGAAACTTCGTGAAAACAGCAATGGTAGCCTATCAAGCCTCTAAAGGATATATCTATCAGTCTATGTAACAATAATAAAAACGTTTTGTGGAACTGATTTCACCAAGATATGACCAGCCATTGATGATATTGAAGCAGTTTTCCCGAAGGTGATCTGGTATCGAAAGTTTGTTATTTTTAGCTCATTGTCGTCACGGAATCCCGAGGGCTCTGTCCAAGATATCATTGGAAATAATGTTGACCAGAGCCGTCCCTAGAGATGTGCATTTAGAAACCAGTTCAGTCGATGTATTATGAGCTTCACGTATCTATTACAATACTTCTATTATAGTTATAATACCAATCGTAACTATTAACAAAACACAAGACAATATTATAACACACTTCTTTAATAAGGTTGGGCACATAACGTTTCATCATGTATTGGCAAGAGAATAAAACATAACAAAAGATATACCAACAAGAAACAATATAGAGCTTAAGAGGGACAATATTGTAACTATTGTTTACAGGCAATTAAAGGGGAAGGGTGTGACAGCTACATAAATCGCATAATATGCAATTCGTTCCTCCCTCAACCGGTACGAAAGACACTGCTATATCAGACTACATCACCGTAATACCAGTTAAACCAGTTTTCTAGCTCACATATTAACGTTAATTGCACCGATTTGCATATTCCGTGATGTATTCAAAATGCGTGACACATTCACCAGCT